CACATCCCCAAACCACCCTGGTGTAGTGGGTTTGCACTGCTGCGTATAGGGTTGTGTGGAAATCAGTTGACTACAATCTACTGAAAAGATGGAAAGTCCTGGAAGGGTCTGGTATGAGACAGTAATTGGATCTCTTAGAAGATTAAGAAATTTCTGGGGAAGTGTTTGAGAATATCATCATCAAACTAAGATGTTACCTAGAGAGAGACTTTTTGCTTTTATAAAAATGTTTGGATCTGTTGGCACAGATGAAGATTTGGGGATGGAAGAAAGATGGCAGTTCCAGAGGAAGAGTAACAATTGAAGGCCCATGCTCTGGAGTTCAACTGCCTTGTTTCAAATCTTGGAAACACCCCATCTAGCTGTATTATAAATTCCATAAATTTTCTTTGCCTCAGTTCCCTCATCTGGAAAATTAGATATTAATGAGAGTACCTGTCTCATTAGGCTGTTGAGAGGATAAATGGGATTGTGCATGTGAAGCCTTCATCAAAGTGCCTGGTACGTGTTGTTGTTATTATTAGACAATGTGACACATACACTAGTCAGGAATGAACGGATTAATTAGTTTGTTTCTTTTGGAGAGAGGACGTAAAGGCATGAGTTATTTTTATTGACAATTTTTGTTTTGTTTTGTTTTATTGTGATTTAAAAATAATTAAATTGCTGCTGGTCATCAGACATCATTACTTCCTTTCCCTTTTATTTTTAATTCTGTAGCAGCCAGCAAGTCTCCCTGATAGGTATTCTAGAAGTCTCCTTCCAAGAGACCATTCCTTAAGTGGAAACCACACGCCTAGACATGATCTTATCTTACCTTCTAGAAGTTCCCTTCGGGTGATGTCAATATTTTTCTTCCTTTGCGAGGAGAGAAAAGCATTGATTTCTGAAGTGTATTAACTCTCTAAGTAGCTTTATTTTATAGGATACACTCAGCATTTGGAATAGACGTTTACTCAAAAGTCATGAGAAGTGAATGGAAGAGGTTGGAGGGAAGAGAGGGCACAAGGCGGCAGTGCAATGGCCCACCTTCCTTCCCGCCCTGGCAAGCTGACAGTTCCCATCTGTGCTCCTCTCATGTGACACTCCATTCTTTCCTCTAAGGTGGGGACTGGATAAGGATAAGAAATCTGGAATGAGCTGGAGAAATTGGATAAGCCTGAGATATGCAGCTTTCCAAACTTCGTACAAAGGAGCCCCACAAAATCTTTACAGAACACACCAGATGCTCCCACAGGAAAGGGAGCAAAACGTTCTTTGCTTACAGGCCATTTCCCTTTGTGGAATCCCCTTTTCTGCATTGTCCCTTCCTTTACTTCCCGATTACCAGGTTCTGAATACCAACATACCAGCCTTAAATTGTCCAAAATTGCCCTTTCTGCTCAGGATTGGCTCATCTGATGATGCTTAACTCTGTCTTGCTCCTAAATGGTCCTTTCCTGCACATCAGCAAAATGTCCTCCCTGGGACAGTCTGGACTGTTGCATGTGCCTATGATCAAAGTAACTCACAGTAGAGTGTGAATAATAGACTTAAGGGCACAGGTGGGGAACTTGCATTTTTCTAAGAAGTTATTAATCACTATTATATTTAAGACAGATGACTTCTCTATTGATAGACTGTACGTAGAAGCCTTTCTGGTGGTCAATTTTTGACTGTAGGAACCTTTACCAAGAGGGTACAGAGAGAAAAGAGGCTTTTCTCTGAAAGACAGAATCCTGAGTCAAATC